AACTGTTTCCTAAATATGCAATCTAAACCTCCCCTGGTGCAACTTGAGAGCATTTCCTCTTGTCTGATCATTTGTAACTTGGAGAAGAGACCGACCCCCCCCTCGTTACAAGCTCCTTCCAGGCGGTTGTAGAGAGTGAGACCTCCCCTTATGACAAACTGTGTGACAGAACTGGCACAGAACCACCAGGTTACTGCTACCTGAAGTTGTTATTTCTAACCACCACCACCCAACACACCTCTACTTAGTGAGTCAACATCGGATGGAGTCTTTCCGAATGAATTTAGGTAAACTAAGTGTTAAAGTTTAAAACCTGGCATTTGAGGCTACTGCTTAGGAAGTTTTTGTCTTGCAGGGGTCTGTGTGAAGACCACTGTGAACTCAACTAGTTGAATTTCTTCAGTTTTCTAGCTGAGAATTAAGGTGCATGGCAAACGCTTGTATTTAGTTCCACAACCTGGCTTTCTGCTCAGCTCCTCTGCCCTTCACAGTACCCAGTAACCTTCAATTTATATGACTTCTCCTTTGCATGCACAGATGCAGACGTAAATTGCATGTTTATCACTGCACACTCATCAATAAATGCATGTATATCACCTGCCTTGGCTCAAACTAATCCTAAAGTCTCTTCTCAAACTGCTAATAGCACCAACAAAGGCAGGGGAGAAAGCCCAAAGTAACAGCAGTAAACCTTAGCACAGCATTCATGCTCTCAGTCAGTGCAGCCGGTCTTTCATTCCGGATTGCTTTCCACAAAGGCCCTTCTATCAGCTGGCAACTTCCTTGCCAGAAAATTGTTATGAGGGCATTCAAGTTTGAGACTGTGTTTCAGTGTTGCACAGGCACCAGCCACTAGGGAGAAGGCACAGAGCACGTTACAGGACGCACAAGGCAATACCAGGATTATGCTGCACTGTAGTAATCACCCCAACAGCTTCAGAAGGTAGTGTTGGCAGCTTCTATGGCAGCTAGAGCAAAAAAAGCACCCACACCATTTTAGGGCAATATGTGAGGACTCTTGGGGTTGGATTTCCTCAGGAAAAAAAAGAAAAATCCAAATAAAATTGGACTGTTGTAAAAATTGTACTGTGTTTCTTGATTACAGTGTTGTAAGACCCCAACACCTGAACTACGAGCTCGCTGAATGTATTTTACTTTAGAAATGTACAAGGCTCCAACAGTTCATCTGCCAAATTTATTAGCAGAGCCTGGGTTCCTTTTAACACTTTAAGAGAGAGTGTGCAAATGAAAAATCTGCCCACATTTTCTCAGGAGGTACTTCTACTGGTAAACTTTAGAAAATAAGAGAAGTTGGGAAATGTTTAAAGGTTACATCCAATCAAAGTAAAGCATTCCACAAAGCAATGACTTAGCACATGCTAACCCATACAACTTGGCAAAATTCCAGTTCTAAATTACCGAGAATATCAAGAAAGGAGATTAGAATAAGAAGAAGAAAAGAAAGAGAAAAAGAGAATTATAGCTACCACCTCCAGATCCAGCACAGATCCAGCTACAGGAGTCCAGAACAGCATGGAGAGAACATGTTGCTGTTTTTATTTGTTTTGACAGCCAATCCAGGGCTGGGTCAGAGGCTTGAGGCTGTGTTGTGGGGCACTGCTCCTGGTGTGCAGTGACTGACAGCTGCTCTAGGACTGCCCAAGGAGGCTCCAAGGGGCTGGAGTGTGGGACAGGGCATCACAGTCACCTCTGTGAAATTCAACCTGACCCTTCTCCCCTCTCTTGAGTTGGTCTGAGCCAATAACTAGTATAATAATCCAGTGTCTCACTGGGTTTGTTTGGGAAGCCATGAGAATAGCTATGATCAGTTTTATCATAACCTTAGGAAACTTCCTGAAAGTATTAATTAAAAAGGTAAGAAGTCTATGTGCCCGAAGAATATTGATATTTTGTAAGTATGGTATTTTGCAGTATGGTAATTTTATTTAGAGTGCCCCTGGTGGAGCAGTGGTTAAACCGCGGTGCTGTCAACGCCTAGACCGGGTTTGATTCCCGGTCGGGGCCACTCCCTGGGCAGATGGAGCTCGTTAGCCCTGTAAGGCAATCCATCTACGTCCTGAGGACCTCGCT